ATACCCTTTCTATATTCCCTGCCTCCCCATCACACATGTATACTGGTTGTTAACGCTTGCTTGCTTGTTTGCCTGCAGGTGACACTGTTCTATATTCCAGACCTCCCCGTCACACATGTATACTGGTTGTTAACGCTTGCTTGCTTGTTTGCCTGCAGGTGACACTGTTCTATATTCCAGACCTCCCCGTCACACATGATACTGGTTCTTAACGCTTGCGTGCTTGTTTGCCTGCAGGTCATTCTGTTCTTCGTCAGCCTGTTGAATAGTGTCGCGAACAGGCGCTACATCATCGTCTACTTCAGCAGCCTGGCCGAGCCGGACAACATGCCCGAGTGGTTGCTCATGCGGCGTCTTTACGTCTGCCTCAGCCAAAAGTAAGCAGACGACATCGCTGGCCTCCGTCGTCGTTGTCGTCATCGTCTGCGCCATTGTCGTCGTTGTTGTCGTCGTCTGCACCATTGTCGTCGTTGTCGTCGTCGTCTGCGCCATTGTCGTCGTTGTCGTCATTGTCGTCGTCTGCGCCGTTGTTGTTGTTGTCATCGTCGTCGTTGTCGTCGTCGTCTGCACGATTGTCATTGTTGTTGTCGTTGTCGTTGTCGTCGTCTGCGCCATTGTCGTCGTTGGCGTTGTCGTCGTCGTCTGCGCCATTGAAGCGATTGAAACAACTCAATGAATCTGTCGTTTGTTTCAAATGTAATGTTTAATGTAAGCACATACGTGTGATTGTAACAACGCTATGAACCTGTACGGCTGTTTCAGGTACAGGAAGAACCTGGCAGGGCTGTACGTCGTGCATCCGACATTCTGGTCGAAGGTGAGCCTCGCACGACGGTTCCCAGTCACCCACATCTCGCTCTCGTTTCCGAGAATCGGCTCATTTACCATCGAGCGATCGACTGCCAGCTCGAATCGAGAACCACTGCTTTAAACCCATTTTCGATCTCTATTAATATTTTGTTTTGTTTTTTATTTAAAAAAAAAAAATATTTATCGAGATTCTGTAACTCCAAAAAACGTTTGTGTTATCAATCGACGACAGTAATGCCGCGGTTTTTGATCGATGCATTGCAGATGGTGACTTGGTACCAGACGACGTTTAACTTCGCGGAGATCAAGGATAAGGTACAGCTTCTTGGTGGGGTGGAATACCTCTACCACTTCGTCGACCCTCAGGAAATCGTCGTACCCAACTTCGTACTGGATTATGATTTCAAGGTGAGGGATGTGCGCATGTTGTGGTCGTCTGCAAGTTGCGCCTTATCTAAACGTGGCTTCTAAGCGTAATCGTAAGTGTAGCGTAATCGTAAGTACCGAGGGACACAGCCTCGCAGCAAGGCACGTGATATTTACCGTCGGCCCGCGATACAACGTCCGCTACCAGACCGCCGCAGAGAGCGCCCTCTATAGCTGTTACAGGAACGTGTTGCAACTCTTCAGGTGCGTGGCGACGACCAACCGTGCGAAATAATCATAGCGTGCGCTCGGTGCGTGTGCCCGCTAGCGGTGGCCGATGTGTACGTGATCTCAGAAACAGTATTACATCATTGGATCAGCATTACATCTAGCTCAATCGAAGTTACCGTCCATGTACATGTCCATGTTACAGGGAGCATAACATGTCGACGCTGGGACTGTGCACGGTGCACTCGGCCAGGAGAGGATATCCACCAGCAGAAGGCGCTCACATCACCCTACGTGAGTTCTCGCGTCAACTCGGTCGTTGCCGTGACGACTGCGATGCGCCTCTTTCAACCGGGAAAAATAACGAGAGCCTAAACTGTCGGCGAGGTTTAACGTCCGGAAGATTTAATTAAACTTAAAGGAATTGATCGAATTTAATTTAATTGAAATGTCAGTTTACTCCGCAGTAGTAATCTTTGTTGGGAGGTCTCGCTGTGGTTGTTGGACGTAGCTTTGGGTTAATGCTTTCTGCGTGTTTTCCAGGGACGATCAGACGATTTCTGGAGAAATATGGGGCTACTGTGGAGACCATAGTGTTGTGTATGGAGGACACTACTATTGAGGTATGCACACGCTTCTACATTCCCCCCCCCCAATTTAATTTTTCGAATAAATTCTTGATGTTACTAGCAATTTCTCGACGTCGCGATTAAAAAGTGCGGCGCGCAGCGTGAGTGTTGCCGTGTGTATTGTCCGTCGCGTGCCTGTAAGTGAAGTGTGCCGGTGATTACTCCGACCTGTCGTCTCGCGGAAGAAAATATTTAGTTTGATCCGTTGTTTTCTCCGGCGTTTACGGTGGTCTCTAAGTTAACCTCCCTCCTTCCTCCCTGCCACCGGCGCCACCTGCAGGCCGTCTACATGAAGCTGATGCCGCTGTACTTCCCGCGCGACGACGACGAGACGCGGCACTCGGCGACGAACCTTCCCGCGGACGTCGGCAACGAGGACGGCGAGCCCGTGGTCGTTGACAGGCAGGTGCGCATCACGGGCAAGCCGGAGTACAAGGGAGCCGTCGGTGAGTGTGTGCATACTTGTGAGTAGGTGCTGGGTGCGCTGGGTGGTAGGGTGTAAGCTAGGTTGGTT